TTGACGCTGTGCCGCTCTTGTCCCTCCTGGTCGCCATCCTCATCATCACTCAGGGCCTCGTTGCGGCCAGCCGTGGCAGCCGCAGCCAGACAGACGCCGGGAGTCGGTGGCGCGCTCGGTAGTCTCGCACATTTCGGTGCACCAATACAGCGATGGCCACAGATAGCACTCCAGACCGACAGTCTCGATGAACTGGAGGGGTCGCCGACGGTCGGCGTCCGTCGCCTCAGGAAACTTCCGGAGGAACTTGTTGTGCTTCTTGACGAAGTCCCGATAGGAGCTCTCGGCCTCCTCGGTCATGAGATAGTCATAGGCCGCTTCCGCCTTCTCCCGCTGTCTGCGGTTCCGCAGCTTACGGATCTTCGCCTGGACCCCGATCTTGGACCAGCTGAACCGCGCCATGGCCGAATGGATGCGGTAAACGTTGCCGGCCTGTTTGTGGGGTCCCACATCGATGTCCAAGGGGCGGAGGGCCTCGATGAGCTTGCTGTTGAGCTTCCGCAAGGGCTGTGGGATCTCGTCCGGCCGGGGCACCCAGTGCTTACCGCGACACTTCTTACAGGTCTTGGCTGTGATCGTTGCCGGCGTGGCTGCAGGGAACGGCACTTCTCGCAAATGCCCCACGACCCGAGTTTGCACCACAACTCCACAAACTTGGCCCGGTCCGAAGTCGTCGGGGCAGGTAGGCCGCAATCATTGGGAGCCACATCGCTTGGCTGCGGGGCCGGGAGCGCGGCTTCCGAGCTGGTCCGCGACGCCCCTGCAAAGCCGGTTCATGGAACGTGCCGTGCCACTCCTCCGGGACCCGCATCATGGCCGTGTTGTAGACGAAGCTGCGCTCCTCGTAGTGCGCCCGGAAAGTTTTCAGCGAACGCGTGATGTTGTGGCGTCCACGCGGTGTTCGGCAGGCTTCCTCCATCCAGTCCTCATTGCAGAAGACGCACTGGTTCTCCTTTGTGGGGTTTCCTCGTGCTGGCATCCCAGGCTGGGTGGCCGAGAAGAGGCACGGCAGTGCATCGGAGAAGCCGCGGCAGATGGACGGCATGGCACAAAGGAGCTGCGTACAAGGACGGAAGGCTTATTGGGGATCTGATGCTATCTGCTAAATGGCTCGTCCCGTCTCCC